CCCGGGCTACTCGAAAACGTCGGTTCCCAAGCCCGTCAATCCCATGTGAATCCCCATGAACTGAACTGCGCTGACCTTGAGTAATGCAGATTGCGTTACACCGCAATTTTTCCTCGTGTATACGTTCGTACGATTCGACGACGAATGTGATATGATATAGTGAGTAAGCAGCACGATATAGGAATAAAACGGCAAAGTGGTTTTCCTTCTGCAATTGCCCATCAAGTCGAAAAGGGAGGTAGGATCGCAGCTGTCCTGGATGCGTTTCATAGGACACATGAACGAGGCTGTTCACGTTGTTCGAAGCGAAAATACGAACTAAATGTAGCTAAAAATGCGAAGACCAAACCGAAAAGGTATTATAGTTACGTGAAGTGCAAGAAGGTGCTCAAGGATTAAAAAAGGTGCCATTAACCTGCAGGGCGAAAAAATAGTCGCAACTGACCAGGAGAAGGGCACAGTACTAGGGAGATACTCATGAGCCTGCTCTTTCCAGTGTCACTAGTGGACGGAGTTCTGCCTAGTGACTGGGAGTCGCGTATATTGCGCCGAAGGTACGATCATTTCCACTTTACGGTTGTGACCTTGAATTTGCGGGCAGAAGACACCCGCAGTGTTCGATAATCGATGCTTACATAGTCTGACCCAGGTTGGATAGACTGAGTGGGTTAGTAACTTGGAAGTAAGTCGTCGGGTGTTTGGGAATACACCAAACAAGAACTCGCTGCCTCATCGAATCCAGTTCAGTAGACTCCGTTGGTTAGGACATTTTTCGCGTACGTCCGACGGTCGCCTACCACAGCGAGCCTTGTTTGCAGTGGCTGTTACAGGCTGGAGGGAGCCACGTGGAGGCCAGCAGATGATGTGGAGACGAAGCATGAAGAAATACACAGCGATTAGATAGGTTGCTACGGCGAGCGATGCTCGCCGAGACAGGTAGTGGTTGGAAAAAAATGAAGGGCGGTCAAGCTAAGACCTGGCATGAGGGTATGAAAACCCTGACTAGGAGACTGGCTCACATAGTGCCCGTTAAGCTCTCTGGCTGGGGGCCCAGAGATTATGGTCACCGATGGTTAGAGACACTAAGCGATATGGCTGAGTGTCGTAAACATTGGCGCTCATGCATCTACTCGTTATTCTTGTAACCTCAGCCTATGAAAATGTGCTATCTTCAGCTTGAATCTGCTCTCAACTTTCGAATCATCATTCTGCTGTTTTATCAAAATGGGCAACCAAAGCCGGTGCACAAAGTGCATGGTTAATGGTTGTAAGAACTGAACTGAACTGAATTAGTTGAGTAAAGCATATAATTTCAACTCCGAGTCTTCTTCATCCTGCTCTCATTCCCTTGATTCGTAAAACGTTAAAATGTCATCAATTGGGAGTAAGGCAACCATGTCTAGACATAATGCCTCAGGGTAAATCCCGAACGTGGTGCGTATCTTGCCTTCTGGACCGGAAATCAACGTCCGGTCAAAGCTGAGCGGTTGTTGAAGAAAATAATATCCTACGATTTGCAGTGTCACATTTGGAAGCCTAGACTCTAGTGCCGAGAGGCAGCACAACGGGCATCAAGAGCCTTACACTAGCTAAGGCGTGTGGTGAGCTTAAGGAAACCCGAAGTCTCACTACCTTTCTACAAGGCTTATGTTCGACCGCATCTTGAGTACTGCGTCCAGGCTTCGAGCCCGTTTCTGATCCAGTACATGAAAACATTGGAATCAGTACAAAGTCGCTTCACCAAGTGGTTTGTGGGCTTAGGACATATCTCTTACGAGAGGTGTCTCGAAGCCCTAAACCTCTTCTCGTTGAGTAGACGTAGGCGGCTTGGAGACTTTATTGAGGTGTACAAAATCCTGAGAAACTTTATGGGCGTACCGGAGGGAGCTTACTTTATTTATTTCACTACGGATGGCTCCTTGGAAAGGATAAGCCGGCACCATGAATGTCTCTGATGGCCGCTACCCATGTTTGGCGGTTGGCTGCAAGATCCTTGCAAATTTTGATCCAGTTTGTTTTCCATCGGTGAGTACCGTACACCATCCGAAGGCCAAGCTGGTCGACGTCTTCGCATACAGTATCCAGCCAGGTTTTTACTTGACCACTCTTGTCGGCGGCACCAGGCAGGACATGGTGTCGGAGCCAAGATAATACTCGTAAAAGTGTTGTCGGGTCTGCGGAGAACATGGTCCAGCCATTGTAGTCTGTGGCGTTGTATGTGCGTTGAGAGACGGGCAACGTGGCATCGATTTCTGTGTGAACTAGCACTAGCGATGGGTGATGAGATGCTGAGATTTATTGCTGAAATTGTGCGTTTGGTTTTGGGATTGGATCGGTAGACCCCTTGGAAATGCCCTTTCTTCCCATATGAATTGCAGATAGCTTCCCGGGTGGGGCATTTGGAGCGAAGGTGTCTTGGTCGCCCACTGATCCGATTACTTCCTGTCTTTCGGGTTGAGGTTCCGAAGCATCTCGTATAGGAATCGGAGCTGCTACATCTGACTGCATGGAGGTAGCACCGCATAGGATATAAGAGGTTGACTCACAGAGTTGTGACTTGCTGAGCATGTTCCAACATGCGAGCTTCTTCGAATGCATGTTGAAGATTAAGATTGTACTTCTCCAAAAGTCGTTGGTAAATGCTATTAGATATTAGTCCTGTTATGAAGGCGTCACGGATAGCCTCGTCACGATGCTTTTCAGCAGAAGCGGACAAAAAGTTACAGTCACCAGCGAGGCTGCGTAGTTTCTGTATAAACTGATCGACTGATTGTCCATTTTCTTGTTTCGTTGTTGCTAATAAATGGCACACAAAGACTTCGTTTTTCGGTTTGATATACACAACTTCTATGCTTCGTAGCATCTCCTCGTAAGTGGAACAGTCAAAAACTTGTCGATACGTCGCTGGGGAGATGACGTTGATAAGGAGTTTTCTTATATTGACTTCGGGGATCTCTACCGTTGAAAGAAAATTGTCGAAGGTGTCCTGCCAATGGATCCATTGCTCGGCGGCTGTAGAAGAATGGGGATCAGCGTCAAAACCTTCGGGGCGGAAGAGACGTTCCATTGTTAGAAGATTAAATTGTTATTTTCGAAAGATCCGGAGTAATGCAGAAGAGGAGTCTGACCGTATATAGGCTTTAATCTTCTAACAATCGTAGTACAAAAGCTATAATGTAAGAAAAGGGAAAGTTAGTAAACTTTCATGTGAAATAGAGTAACACATCAGTTTATGGTACAGTCCTCCCTGAGAATGATCTCAAGCTAGCCAAGGAAAGAGTTTGCCCTCGAGTAAGACTGAATTTCTTCTGCGCGATGGTAGTAAACGATTGGAATAGACTGCCAAAGGAACTGGTCAGCAGCATTTCGATGAGCAATTACAAGAACCGGTTAGACTCAGTATAATACAACATATTCACGGTGTTTTCCCACCAAAGCGAGAGGACGAAAAGCCGACATCCGGGGCTATAACCGGGTTGGTGGACCACGGGTTTACCTAGTGGAGTTGGCCAAAAACCCTAATTCCAAGTCAACCAAGAAGAGGCATACGAACCACCACCCACCCTGCTAGGTGTGGCAGTAGTCACCAGTTCGATTGGGCATCAAGGTGTATTGGGCACCTTGGACGTTTGACCCCACCCATAGGGGATATGATCCGATGGACTGGACACCGGCCCCCAATGGATTGGGGTTTCCACACACCGCCCCGCTTCGTTGCAGGTCAGGCTTTGGCTAACC